ATGTCTGGGTGATTAGTTTATTATTATTATTATTATTATTATTATTATTATTATTATTATTAATTCCTGCATTTATATATTCATATCAGATGTCCACTGATTACTACAGGAGTCTGAATGACAGATCTGCATTGAGTTTATGTAGTAAACCTTTTCAAAATCTTCAGCCTCAAACTCAGTATTCTGAAAAACTAGTGTCGGTTCATATTCTTTATAAAAATCTTTTGGTATGTTTACAACTATAAACTTTATATTCAATATATAACTCAGATTTCAAACAAGTTGCTAACATTTATTTTTAAATTTTGGCATTCCTTTTCATGCTCTCTGTCACAACAACGATCAGGAAAAAGTAATTTATTTTTAATCTTTTTTCCCCGTTATCGTATCCGGTCTTGCTACTTGAACAGGATGAATGGTTTAGGTGTAGAAATGACAAAGTATTTCGTTATGTTTCAGGTCGGCCTATGGTTTGCGTTGATACCATTTGTCAACATGAATGAACACCAGTCGTTTGCACAATTCCTAGTATATGACAGTCACCGCCCAGTCATATCTATATTTATATTATTTTGGGGTCAGTTTGCTACATTCACTTATGTGATTTATTGTCCCACCTCTTCATTATTATTATTATTATTATTATTATTATTATTATTATTATTATTTCAATCGCTGTAATTATCATTATCATTATATTATAATAACGAATACACCCTTTATAATTATAAATATTATTGTTGCTATTGTCGATGTTGCTGCCATTGTTGTTGGCATAACCATTGTGATTAATTTCTTTTTTCTAATGTCACTGATAATATACTCTTCTTGAGTCGGATATATTTGGCTCCAAGTCAAACAATGTCTCAATCTTTTGACGACGCCAGCTCATACCAACCACACGAATGTGTAATTAGTTTGCAATGCCGCTACCACAAAGTTAGGGTTATCACTTGCGCAATCAAAGTGTTTGCCAAATTAAGACAAAGGCGGGAAAAGGTAGAAAAAATACCCCTTGGGAAGAATAGGGTTGAAGGGGTATAGATATGTCAGAGCGAAGAAGGATAAGAATGAATGAATGAGAAAGTACAAAAAAGGCCTGATAATAAGTTTTGGTTAAATATGACAAGAGAAAGAATTACGAGAGAGAAAGTATAATGGAAGCTCAATAAAATGAGAAATGAAGAAGAAGAAGAAGAAGAAGAAGAAGAAGAAGAAAAAGAAGAAGAAGAAGAAGAAGAAGAATATTTATGATTTATGAGGAAAAAAGGGAAAGTTTAGAGTAAAAAAAAAGAAAGAAAGATGGAGGAGATTAAGAAAAATAACAATAAAAAGAGACAAATCAAAATGGAAAGAATGAAAAGGGAGGGTGAAACTATAAGCAGAGAGCAGTGGCGAAAAGAATGAGAAGAAAAGGAGCAAGATGATGATGAAGCGCGGAAATTTAGAAATTAAGAACAAAAATAAATGTTCGAGGAGATCAAGACGAATAACAAACAAGAGAGGAGGAAGAATAAGGAGAAGGAAATAAAATTCGAAAATAGATAAACAAAAAAATGAAGGGAAGAAAATGAAGCAAGACTTACAGACCACGCCCAGAAGAAAAAAAAAAGCGAACAGAGAAATAAATAGAACGTCAAGAAAAGAAGAATATAAGGAGGAGGAGAAGAGATGAGAAGTTGAAGGCAAATCATTAGAATGGAAACATCAAAAGCTGCATTAACAATCTATAGAAGCCATGATATCACAGAAAAACTTCTTTTGAATGATATCACAGTTATTGTAGGATTTGCGTGGTAAATAAAAAACGTGTTTAAACATGCGTTATTTAGTAGATAATGACAAAAAATGCTTCTGTTTTCATTGTTTGAATGATTAATAAGTTTCGTTAGTTATAGCAAAGAAATATAAGTTACAAAATAACATATCCTGTAACAAAAAAACCGGCTGTTGCTTCTATCCTTATCCAGTATTACAGGTTCAATCAAAGTCTCCGGTTCACAATGGCGATACGATTCCACTTTCCAGCCATGTTGGGATTTTTTTGATCCTGGAGAGCAATTAATAAATCGTAGATCCCGGAAGATTCAGTTGGTCTACCTGCAAGTTCGTTGGGACTAGAATCGAGCCAAGCAGAAAACAAATCAAATATGAACAAGTCGATTCGAGTCCAAAGAAAAATTTATGTATGTGTATATAGGGAAGGCACAGTATGGGCAGTAATGGATAGCGGCTCGGATTGAGGAATCGGGGAGCCGGGTTCGAATTCCAGTCGAATTCCTTACATTCACTTATGTGCTAATACCCCTGGGAAAGGTATGAATCGTCTTCTTCTTCCCCACACCACCTATGGGTAAATAACAGGGCAAACCGGGTTATATAGCGTGGGATGGCAGCTGGTCTACTGCAGAAAGAAATGGCAGCCTACTTCAGGAAAAATCTGCCTCGTCAGTCATGTATCGAAAGATACATGATCACCTACACGTGTTTCACGCATGACACCTAACTAACTGATATAAGGAAGAAATTGGTACTAAAAGAATAATACTTTCCATACAAGAAAGTAGTGCATATGAGAAAAAACAAATATTGAAAATAATTCTGAAAGGAGAGAAGTAGTTTTCGGGTTCATCCTTTTTGTTCCTATTAGTGCCGTAATTATTTCACTATCAGGATATAAAAGGGTTCTCTGTCAGTATTTGCGCTAATATTGCAGATAAAATGGATTCACTTCCTTTCTTATTACAGCCGCAAGCAGATGTTTTCACTCTCACTGTTTTCTCTCTCTCTCTCTCTCTCTCTCTCTCTCTCTTTCTGGTTCACTGCTTGTCAACTCACTTTACCCAGCTCCAATTTGACTTCGACTGTTTGTTTTCGCACAAACACCCGCTTAAATAAACGTGGTAGTAGCGACAAAAACCCAGGGTGTTGGTTAACTTAGAATACAACCTGATTACTGACCTTCCCACTTCACCATTAAATGAAGAGACTCTTCTTCTCAATTGGTATTCCATAGTTCATATAAACACTATTGTTTTGACATTTTATATTAATAATTCCGACGAAGTACAGATTCTCTGGGCACAAACTTCACCACAGATTATTTTTCTCATCCATAAACAAAATTCTATATTACTATAATTATTAATATTTCAAGGGTGTCCATTGCTCTCTGCGACATAAAGTAGCAATCAGTAATGGAAGTTGTTGTTCCGCGTTAATACAGTTGTATCAATAAAATATAGCCTAAAAAATACACCTTCAGAGTAATGGCGGAAAGATAAACACAGTACCACAATGTCTTCAACAAACAAAATAAAAACTTAAATTTGCAGTTGTTACTCATACATCATACAGCTTCGAATTGGCACCATCAGACTTCCGGTTTTACTAGGATTGAAAGAGGCGATGAAACTGGCCGTTTCTTTGCACATTTGTATAAAAAGCAAAATGTATATTTTCTTGAAAGACGAAATTAAAAAAAAAAGATTGATAAAACGTTTTCAAATGGTCGGTATAATGAAATGAAAGCATTCTTGAAGAGAATAAAATACACTTCGTCTTTACTAGTTTCATTATTCTTGGTAGTCAAGAATAAATGCCAAAAATAAATTAATCGCGAGTTTTCTTTTTTTTACGGATCATCAGCCTTAATAATAATTATTTATTTTCGAGTAAATATTGCAATAACATTTGTTTGAAAATAACAATGATTTTTCTAGATGCGTGTGCTAATCTCCCATAACTGGGAGATGTTAAACATTCTTTTTTTTTTTTTTGTAGTAGTGACATAAATTTCTTTCTATTTCAATAATGGAGAAACTTTAACATCGAAAAACATAACAAAAATTAATTCATTTTAATAATATGTGGAAATATCCACTCTTTGCCTGAAGAAAATCGCGAGACCCGAAACACGTGTGGTAAAATTATTGTAAATAAAGTATAATATATATTTTTAAAAAATCCACATTACAACCAGAAACGTTTGCGGTTTTTCTTTTATATATATATATATATATATATATATATATATATATATATATATATATATATATATATATGCAAAAATGTAAATGGATATAGATCCGACAGAATGAAAAAAATTTGGAAAAAAACAAACAAAAATCCTTAAATAATGTTGTTTAAAATTCATTTTAAACAAATAATTGCATTTAAGGATTTTTGTTTGTTTTTTCCAAATTTTTCTTCATATATATATATATATATATATATATATATATATATATATATATATTACTTGAATAATTCATACAAAAATCAGATATAGAAGTTAATGATATAAATAGCGAGAATACATCTTCGCAAACAATTTTAATAAATTACACTAACCCCGAACCTGTAGATGAATGATATGATCCCTGTTTATAAATTCCAGTTGCATAAGGTCTTTTTAGTTTTTTTACAAGCTTTCATCTGTTCCTACAGACATCTTCAGGTATGGAAATAGATTTGTTTTGGTTTTTTACTTCTCGGTAATAACAGGACAACGAAAATAGAGATGTAATCCGAAAAAAATGTTTTTAGAAATATGTTATTGTTAATTGTAAGAAATTTTTTGGGAGCGTGCGGCCGCAACACTGAGGTTGAATTTTTAAATTTTAGAATTGTGCAAAATATATATATGTATGTGTGTGTGTGTGTGTGTATTTATATATATATATGTGTTTGTGTATATATATATATATATATATATATATATATATATATATATATATATATATAACTGGTAATTGTAAGTATTATATAGGATTCAAAGTCTACATCAAATAATTATGTGAAATGCACGTATTTTTATTTATGTTAATTATATTGACCATGCTGATATAAATAGGACGAGAAAAGGGATGGACACAGAAAGCATAAACGACAAAAAGGAAAAATATAATAATGTTCAGAACGGTTGCCTCATCAAATCCTACACTGATTGCTCTTGTTATCAATTGTAAAGTCAAGGATTTCAGCCATGTTCGAGGAGTTCAAATGGGATTGCAAATGCATATGCTGAATGTTGGGAAAACATGTGTAATGTTGTGGAAAGGAGAAGAAATATAAGAATTGAAGGAGAAAGAGAAGGATAATAAAGAAGTGAAAGGAAGAGGAATAAAAAATAATTGAGAAAAGAAAAGGTATTGAAAGAAAAAGAGAAGTGAGGACAGGAAAGAATGTCGAGAAAGGAAGTGGAGAGGAAATATCCGGAGGGAAAGAAAGGAAGTTAAAGAGAAAATAGTTAAAATAGAGAAATAAAAAGAATGGAAACAGAAAGAAGAGAAAGATAAAGAAGAGAAATATAAAAGAAGAGAAAGTATCGAAAGACGAGAAAGGAAGAGGGAGGGAATGATTCGAAAGAAGACAAAGAAAAAAGAAGAGAAAAACTGAAAGGAGAAAAGAAAGGAAAGTAGAAAAATCGAAAAAAGAGAAAGGAAAAGAAAGGAGAAAATAAAAAAAAGAAAAAAGGAGGTGGAATTAAACGAATAGAAAGAAGAGAGAGAAGAGAAAGGGAAAGAATTCAAAGAATGAGAAAGAAGAGGAGGAGAAAGAATGGAATAGAAGAGGAAGAGAAAGAATCGAAATAATAGAAAGAAAGAGGAAGGGAAACAATCGAAAGAAAAGAAAAAAGAAGAGAAAGAAGAAGGGGAAAAAATCGAAGGAAGAAAAAAAAGGAAAGGAGAGAAGAGAATGGAAGAGGAAGAGAAAGAATTGAAAGAAGAGAAAGGAAAAGGAAGGCAGAGATGTAGGATCAGCCATAAAACGGAAGAAAGCTACATGAAACAATGGGGATATGAAAGAGGAGGACGGGAAAGTGTAAGAAGAAAGAGTCAGAAGGAAAGAAAGGCAGAGAGAACAGAAATAGAGGAGCCAGTACAACCAAGTCAGAACAGACACGATGGAAATATATAGGAGGAGAAGTGAGGGGAAGAGTGTAGGAACAACCGTGAAAGGAAATGGAGAAAGAGAGAGAGAGAGAGAGAGAGAGAGAGAGAGAGAGAGAGAGAGAAATTGAATGAGTTGTAGTAGAAGAAAGAGAAAGAGTGGAAGAGGAAGTGTGAAACGGGAGGAAAGATAGAGTAGAAGAAGATTCAGAAAAATATTGAAAGGCTGGGAGACTAAATTGTGGAATGAAGAGGAGATGAAGAACGGCTAAAATCAAGATAAAAAAAAAGGGGAGGCAGTGGAAGTAGGAAGAGAACACGTGGTTGGAAGGAAGAGGAGACGATACAGGAATTGAATAATTTGACAGAAGGAAAGCAGAAGGAAGACGTAAACGATGAAGAGAAGGTGAAGATAGACGTTGAGGGAAGGAGTAATGAGCAAAGAAGTAAATGGACGAAAAGAAGAAAAAGCTATCTCAACAAAAAAAAAAAAATATTAGACCATTGAACTTCATTCATGAATTTGCTCCAGGAGCTCTTTTAGCCGAAGGCAATGTTAAAGTGAAAGGTTTGTTGAGATGACTCGGCCACCTGGTCATATGAGCAGCCCTACTTTTTCGCTGAATAAACTGACGGTGATAACTGTCGCTTCGGGGAGTTGGGTATCTTTTTCCTTCTTCAGCAAAGGACCTTTTCTTGATCTTGTTTTTCTCGTTCGAATTATAACATAGAAAAAGAGAAAGCTTGGAAAGATAATAATAATAATAATAATAATAATAAAATAATAATAATAATAAGAAGAAGAAGAAGAAGAAGAAGAAGAAGAAGAAAAAGAAGAGGAAGTCGGAAAATTAAATCTCATCATGATAAACAAGGAGAATTGTCAGGTAGCATAATATAGAATGAAACTGGAAGCAAGTGAAATGCTGGAAGATTTGTCTGAATCTTACCAAAGAACTGAATATTCTTCGGAATATGGAGTTGATGGATGCTGTACTTTCATTACTGGTGCGTTTGGAACAATCCCAAAAAGTATTATAAAGATGTTTTAACAGGGAAATCAATAAATAATCAAAAACCACCCGACCGCATTAAAAAAAATAAGTTCGGATACATCAGACAGTTTTGGGGAAATTACTGCAATTGCAATTTGCTTTTAGCTGATCATCAACGAATACAAGAAAGCGTTTTTCTTATTTTATGTATATTGTCTATTGAGGACATGTTCGATCAGCGCTCTCCACATCTTCCTATCTTTTTTTTTATCTAAGTAACATTTGTGACATTAGCATAACTTTTTTTTAAATGTTCTTCTGTCATCCATCCATGCAAAGACGTTACGCACGTTACTCCCTTTTTCTCCATGGTTCTCTTCCCTTCAATAGGCATTTCCACATTGTCTATACCCACAATTTCATTTGTCTGTTTTTAATTGTAACGATATTTTTTTAAAGTTCCTGCTTATCTTATAATTCCATCTTGTTCACATGTTCTGTCAATGGTATTCTCTACATTCGTTGGTAGGACAATATCTCTATCACTTCAAGTTTCTTCTACCGCTTTGATATGCTTGCCCAGGATTCATTACAACATAGAAGTTTGGCTAATGCATAGAAGCCCACCATTCTTTTCTTTCTTTCTAATGACTTTTCCTATCTCTTAATACTTCGCTTAGTTTCTGGAAAACATTTTTTTGCAATTCCTGTGGATCTTCTGATTACTGTATCAAATATTCTCCCTCGCTTGTTTCTACACTGCCCAGATAGTGAATTTCTGTACTCGCTTGATTTCGACGTCCCTAACACACAACTCATGCCAGTTATTCTCTATTTTGCTGATATATATGCATATATTGGGGAATTAAAATGAGCTACAATAACTATCTTGTTCAGTATCACGTATTTACTTGTAAGTTGTTAAAAGTTGCACCCTAGAGGCACTATCTCTGTTAATGAACCATAGTATCCAAGAGACAAAAGGGTTGTGTGTTTTAAGATTATAGGAAGAGGCAGCCGAGGCAACATCCAGATAGTTGGGAACACGCTCAAGAAAGGAAAAGACTGAGTTACACGATGTGAAACTGTTTATAACTAGGCTAAACCTGAAAGGTTATTCCTTGCGTTTTTCAAAACCTATCACAATTTTGCGCACATTTGGCTGTTATGCACGAGTCTGGTATCAGACTGTGTGTCATAATATTTATATTGTAATGCGTATATTTGTGCCCCATTGTCACTTTGATAGCTTCTTCTCTCTCGCTGAATAATAATAAGAGTAATAAAGAAGAAGAAGAAGAAGAAGAAGAAGAAGAAGAAGAAGAAGAAGATGTGCCAGGCATTTGACTTTACACTCATACAACTGAGTGAAACCTGTTTGATGATCAGCACGAAATGTACTTTCAAATCATTTTGCAATGCCACCTGATATGACATACTAGCAGGAACAGAATTATATTGTCTTTCTATGCGCGTCACTTCATTTAAGCGTAGAAGTAATAGTGCTCAACACATGGTGACCTGTCCGAAGTTAACTGTACGCGTGTTTTTTATCTATTAAATGTTACCGAATATTAGAGACGTAAACTTTGATAATACAGGATCTGATCCATTTTACTCAATCAACATTGCTGATTATTTTATATATTTGCTCTCATATTCGTCGTAAAAAAATAAAATAGACATTATTATTAATGAAACATGCTTTAAGTTTTTTATATTGATTTTTTTTCTGTTTGTTTTTTTTTTTTTGCGCGATCATCTTTTGTTTTAATACATTTTATGTATTTTTCTATTGTTAAACGACTTTCTGTTTTTCATTTTAGTTCGGAGAGCTTCGCTTTTTGTTATTCACCGAGCTTAGCTTAGCTTAGCTTAGCTTAGCTTAGCTTAACTTACTTTGGTACAGTTAGAATTGTACTCATGACGTAACGTTAATGTTTAACCAGACTTGCTCGTTACAAACTACCCCACGTCAAGAATTTCATCTTCCTTTAAGCTACTGTTTCTTTTTATTCTATATACCCGCTGACAGAAAAAAAAAATTAAATAATTTTTTAATTTTATTTACATTCCGACTAATATCCTCACCTTTGTTGTTCTTCTCACAACGTTTCTGCCGTTGTGACCTCCACTTTTTTCGGGTGTGTGCCGATCCGGGTAACTTGGAAGGGGATCCGAATTGAACCCATCATTTAACTTAAATTTTGCTCGTTCCTCTTTTCATATATTCAAATGTCTTGATATTTCTTTTCATTACTGCTCAAATATTGTCCACACTGTTTTTATTGGTCGGAAGCCTGTTCTATTCTACTGTTCAAGGCAGTGTGTATTTGGATTAAATGGGAGCAGAGCGAACAATAACAGTACTAAAAAATATAACCACTAGACAATGTGGAACGAGAAGAGTTTCCGCTAAAAAATTAAATGGCGGCTTCACTTCGGATTTCCCTGTAGGTAAATCGGATCGACGTATAATTGAAGACTGAGACTTTCTAATAACAACAGCAAAAATGAAGACAATAATTCTCATGTAAATAGTCTAAATAATAACCCGTCATCCGAGAAATTCAGACAGAAAATATAGTAACATGTATATATATTCCCACAGGATAAAATGTCTGCAGTCAGTTATGTGTCATATACGCGTAGGCGATAACTTTAGATATATGACTGACGAGGCAGATTTCTTCCCGCAATAGGTTGCCATTTTTTTCTGTGGTTGACCGGTTGCCATCCAAGTTTATTTACACATAGCTGGGGGGGGGGAAGAAAAGGATTCATAACTTTATCCAAGGGTATTAGCACGTAAGTGAATGTAAGGGATTCGACTGGAATTCGAACTCGGCTCTCCGATTCCTCAGTCCGAGCCGCTATCCACCGTGCCTCTACCATAAAACGTTTTGCGATAGTAATATGATCGCCACTTGGGAAGTTGACGAGAAGTTATTAAAAAAGAAATCTCGTTGTGTCTTATACTTCAGCTTTCACTTGTTTTGGAAGACTGCAACAAGGCGCGAACCTCTGAAAAAAATAATATATATCCAAAGGTTTTTTTTTTTTTAATGAGCTACGACACTCATATTTTAATGCCTCACTTCGTCTGTCGACCAGTCTGAGGTCTGTCAATGCCAGCTGCATTTGACATTTCTGCCATTCCAAACTAGAAACTACTCTACGCCGACACCCGTCATTGGTATAATTAGTATCATCATCATCATCATCATCATCATCATCATCGTCATCATCATCGTCATTGTCATCATCATCGTCGTCATCGTCAGTAAGCAACGCCCGAAACCTCTCTGCGCTCCGAAATCTTTACTTTCGATCTCATTTTCATATTAACTTATGGATTTTGCTGCCGCTGTAACGAATTAACATGATCGCTTGTCACAGTCGGCGGTGGATAGGCAAGAAGTCAATAGCTGGACAAGAAAAAGAGACACTAACTCTGTTGCCCAGTTCTCTTTGCCCTTCATCTTACCAACCACACTGCCCCATCAACCGCACTAGACGTCAACACCAACCTTATTCGAAATTCACAACGCCCTTCCCTAATTCGTCATTATTTTGCTTGGCTATAACTTAACACTATAGTTTTAAGAACTCTTCTGTTTCCTTAAGCACCCCAATCTTAATCCGATCCACGGGTCGCCCTTGCCCTCCTGTTGCTGGCGACCACATAGCCGGAGTACAATCAATGTTTTTATTGTCCGAGTGCTCACTTCCCGCTGATAGAAAGAATAGGACACCGGAAACAGGCACTAAGCCTGCGGCAACTCTCGAGTACAACCAGAGAAACATCGACGGTAGGACAGGACCGAATCTTTACACAACTGAGTCCATTCCACCTTTATTTAAAAACGATCTTCTACACGCGATTCTCACCTCGTCTCTATTTCTCAATAAACGAAGTCTCTTAGCTTCGCGCTTTTAATTATCATTATTTTTTTTTAAAGGAAATATCAGTCACCGTTTGTTTTCGTTGTTTCTTCCTTATTTTGTTTATTTATACTTTCCGTTTTTTTTTTCTTTCTTGTATATCAGCGCCAAACTTTCAAATATTTTGTGTGCCTTATTTACTCTTTTTCATATTCACGGGCTCTTCTCCCCCCCCTTTATTACAATCTTCTTTTTTTCTTGTCCCATGTACATGTTCTTTCTAACTTTCTTTCTTTCGTTATTTATTTAATATGTTTTTCTGTAAGGAAGGGAAATGAAATGAAGAAATGAAATGGGGTGAGAGGGATGGGGAGGAAGAGAAATAACGTGAGAATCTCAAATTTCTCTTTCTTTTAATTCCCAACTTAGCTCACCTTCTCACTCATATATTCAGTTGCTTTCTCTGTCTATCCCTCTCTTTCTCTTTCTCTCTTTTGCTCATTACTTCTGTTTCATTTTTTTTGCTTTCTTTATTTCATTCATTTTCGTTATTATTCTGTACGGGAGTGGAATAAAATGAAGAGACAGACAGAGAAAGAGATAGAGACAAGAGAGGGAAAGAGGAAAAGTGAGTTTCTCTTTCTTTTACTTCACACGCCCTCCCACCTTCTTTCGCTCTCAGTTTTTCTCTCTCTTCCTTTCTCTCTATCGACCTCATTCTGTTGCGCGCGATCTATCTCCATTTCACTTTTTTCTTTATTTCTTTGTTTGTTTGTTTGTTTGTTTCTTTCTTTCTTTCTTTCTTTCTTTCTTTCTTTCTTTCTTTCTTTCTTTCTTTCTTTCTTTCTTTCTTTCTTCTTTTTGCATCCAAAGTCTATTATTTTCTTTCGTTTCTTTTTATTATCAACATTATTCTCTTCGTTGTCTTCCTTTTTCTTTACTTTTTGTATTGTTAATCATTTTTATTCCAGTTTCAAACTCTTTCATCTTTTACTAAGTACAATTTCTTCTTTTTTCTTTATATTCACCCCGATTTATAATTTACTTTTATTATTATTTTTTTGCTATTTTCTTTCCTTTTTTTTCCGAATTCAATTTTTCATTCCTTTCTTTTCTTCAATATCTTTTCTAAAAAGTCTTCCTCTCCTTTTCTTTTCTTTAATTTCCTTCTCCAATTTTCATCTGATCCCTATCGTCCTGTGACAACGCTTCCAACTTCTTTTACTTAACCCTGAGGCAATTTCAGCGCGATGTTAGAGACAAGTTATATTTCCTTACCGTTCTTTTTCCCGTTCCCTTACCCATATCTCTACTCCACAGTTGTTGTTGTTGTTGTTATTATTATTATTATTATTATTATTATTATTATTATTTCATCGTCTATTTGACGATACTCTTTCTTTGTTTCTTTCATCGCATATCAACTTCGTTCAGTTTTCTAGTTTAATTATTATTTTTTCGATCCTTTATTATTCTTCTTCTTATTTTTTTTTTTATTTTATTGTTGTTATTATTATCATCATTATTATTATTATTATTATTATTATTCACCTCTGGATTTTCTTTCTTATTTCATTGTTACCAGCATAATTCTAATTGTTTCCTTCTTCCTTCATTGCCTCTATCTTTTTCCCGTTTTCTTTTTCCCCACAGAGAAATTCATTTTTCCTTTTTCAATTTCCACTTCTCGTTTCTTTTATTTTCATTCATTTTCTTCTTTTTTTTCTCCTTCACACGTCTAATACATAAATATATTCACCCTTATGTTTCCCTCCCCTTCTACTGTACAGTCTAAACTCGCCGTTGTATTTCTTCTTGTACGACTTTTTGGCCAGGGGCAAACTCCAATTTCCCAAGTGTCTTGCGGCGAACCCTTCAAAGGGGCCCAACTGTGTAAGGCCATTGCTCTCTAAGACGGAATCAATTGAATTAATCAACCTCTTTTCATATGATTTTAGAGTAATCAGCCAAGTGTCCGTCGACACTGGTTAGCCGAGAGTCTTGTCTGTAATCCCGGTAACAATTTATCAGGGGATAATTGGTCGATGTGATCTTGTCATGTCACTAGCGGGATTGAGGGCTCGGGTATGAAGTGGGCTTGGAGCAAATCCCCCGTACAAAATGACACCAACATTGATACAGCACAAATGCGTCTCTCCAGCATCCACATGGGGAAATTCAACATATTTACAAAGCGTTATACACATAATAGTTTGTTATTTTTCCATATCTGGCTCTTCCACATTTATCTCTGTATATAGCTCCCCCTCCCCCGACATACAGACATTTAATTTGCTTGCATATACTGTTCATAATGTTTGTGTATCTTAGTACGGCACAAAGGGGAAAGGTCAAATGAGTGGAATATTTCATTATGACAATCTTTCATCTGGGAAAAGTCTTCTTGTTTTAAGTTAACCATTATACACCCCGACTTTTTTTTTTTATTTCAGTGTCAACAATTTTGAATAGTATTTAACACTAACAGTAAAAATCTATAATTTGAACTTTATATATATATATATATATATATATATATATATATATATATATATATATATATTATATTCTATAAAGAATTAATGAATATATTTTTTAATCGACCCATTTTTATTTTAATTTAAACATTGTGTACAGCGTCTATCAGCCTCCACGTTCGAGAAACGGACAAACGATGGCTTATCCTACAAAGGGAGACGAAGATTCGATTCCTACCAGCTATTTATTTATATTTCTAGAATGCGCAGGTCGATAGACAAATTACACACTGTTTATTAAAAACATTAAAATGCGGAGTCAATTTCAAGTAAAAGTATCCACTATAATAATGCTTGAAGTAATATATATGTGTGTGTGTGTGTGTGTGTGTGTGTGTGTGTATGTTAGCGTGTGTACGTGTTACTATATGGAGAGAAAAAGTGACTTAAACAGTGGTAGCAGAATTCCTCACTTAATGTTGAATGGTAGTTTTGCATCTTAAGTGGTCATGAGTTACTACTCTTTGGGCGGGTCTTATACATAAGCTACTAGATGCTTATGAGATTAGGAGGAAAATGAACTTTTTTTCTATTTGTTCGTTTACATTATTTACAATTTTGACCTTTCTCTTGCTTATCTTGTTCATTTATTTTCATTTTATTTCACTATAATTATTTGCATTTTGTACGCGTTTATGGTTAATTTACTATTCAATTTTATGTATTAAAATTCGATTTTTTCATTTTGTATAATTGTTCGGTAATAAATTTTGAAATTATTATTATTATTATTATTATTATTATTATTAAGTTGTAACATTTTCTTTAGTCTTAGGAGCAGATATATTGTTGTAGATAGCGATGTAGTAATTTGTTTTCGCGTCTGTATTTGAAAATGAGATCTGATATTTTCTGTCGGAGTTTATATTATTCTCTAATGATTATTAATGCTATTTTCACCTCTAAGCATAGGTTACGTTTTTTTAAGATGTTGTTGCTACATGACACAGCATTTTTTATTTTCAATTTATTTCTTGGGTGGAGGTATTTGTGTTTCTGAGATTTCATTTGAGTTTTGAGACGGGCGAGCGACTTGCATAATTTTGTTGTTAAATTTTGTTTTGCAATTGTAACTTCTATTTTTCCTGAAATCTTGTATTCCTATTGTTTTCTGTTCTTCCTTTGGATTTCAAATAAGTTTTGTATATTACATTGGTTTTTAGACAGTAACGATTTAGTGGGCAGTCAAATTTTTCTAACTCTTTTTAGAAATTTTCTAACAGGTGGAGAATGTGATGTACTGGTGACTTTTTCTATTGAGTTTTATGATTTGCATGATATTTTAAAAGCGGCTGTCGCGATTTTTTAAGTATTTTTGTAGGGCATTAGATGACATCATGCTGATGATACCAGACACAAAGAGAAAAGTACAGAAACTGTTTCGCAAGATAGATTTATTTTATTCATTCCACTCCAATTAAGGCGATAAAGAGACTAAAACACATGGATTTACTATGAATGATATAAACCGAGAAGATTTTATTGAAGAGAAAGTACAATAAAAGAATAAGGATTAAGGAAACTAAATATAACTATTGACATTGCAATTAAACTTTTGAGGATCATAGTTTACAGGAAAGCAAGAAGCAAGTTAGGAGACCCAAAAATGAGAAGTACGAGAAAAGAAACAATTAGTACAGAACTTAAGGTTACGTATAGTTCATCAGTAAAATGTACCAATATGGTACTATAATTAGACTCATGAAGCCGAGGTACCAAAAAAGAAAGTTTATCAGAACAATTATCATGAAAATAGATATATAAAAGGTGCAGTGAACATACGCTGTTGCGGTAGGAAAGTGGCTGAAACCAAGATGCTAGGTCAGGACCGACAACATTACGGATTTTTGTTTTTTATTTTGTCAAGAATTTGTAGAAACATAACAGAAATACCAGACCAGATGTGACAGCAATGATCAATGCACGATCAAATAACAGATTTATAAAGATATAAGCCAACTTCTGGCAAGAACAACTCTACAGTGAAACCAACTTTCCTAGCAACGTACCTAGCAATTGATTCGACATAATCGGCCCACAATATGTCATTGGAAAGATTTCGGCTGAGAGGATCGACGAGTTATTCTTCTGTAGGTTAGCATCAGCTATAATGCTGGTAGGTTTACTAAAACGATTGCAAGAACAGTTTCGTTCTGGAGGCGGTAAAATGTACAAGCAATTTCTTGCCTCAGATAACAACAGATCGAAACGTCATTTTTATGATCAGCAGCCAATTTCACCTTATCCAAACCTATCGGATTACTATTAAGACAAAGGAAGATATTTTTGTCATAGATATTGAGTTAAAAACTGAGGGCATCGAGAAAGACATTGAGGAAAATTAAGAACAAAGGATTGAGGATAAAGCCGTCGCAAGGCATCCGAATTAATCTAAAAAGATATAGAAAAGTGGCCGTTTACAATTTCATATTGCGATTTGGTAAGAAAGGATAAAAGAAATCGAATATTCAACTAGAAATACCATAGGCCTTCAACTTGTGAACAAAACCAGTATAACAAACATTGTCAAAAGCCTTCAGATAACTGAAGCAAGAGTACGATTTTATTTTTGTCTATGAGTTGACAGACACTTTTAGCAATAACTATTAACACATCGGCAGTTGACCTAGAGATGCGAAAGCCATATTTTTTGCCTGAACGAAGATGCTCTGGTATGAGATATTTAACCAATTCGGAATTGATTAGAGCCTCTATTTTTTGTCGAAACTAAGTAGAACGCTTATTGAGTGGTATTCTGAAGGATTCAACGATTTGCCCGAGTTCTTAACTAAACATAATTTCCAACCAGTTGCAAAACAAGAACCATCAAGGCATTTATTATGAACTTGGAACAGAAGCCAGTTAAGAAGCACATTTCGTTAAAACCATTGCAGATACGCAATTGCTTCGGAGATGATAGCAAAATTATGAACAAACTTATATGCATATCACATACTAAAGACACAACTCTAAGTAGAAAATCAGGTGGAATCTAGTTAGGTCGAGTGTAGAATTGGAGGAGAATTTACTAGTAATGCCTTTTGATTTATCAGCAGAAGATGTCAACACCACGAATTGAGTCGAGAGAGGAGAGATTGAGGATTACTCTTATTTACCACACTATTACAGAACCGACACTCTTCAAGAGAAATAAGCTTGTCAGAGGAATTATGTGTCAGGCACAAGAGACTTAACCTGATTGAAAAAGCTTTGAGATTATTACGTGCGCAAAGGGGCGCTTATTATGAACAGATATGTCATGTTGATACAGCCGGAAAAGTGATAGGCTGTAACGGCTGAACAGGCAAGTGTGAATCAAGGAAATTATAGTTTCACCTGGTATTTCAAGAAAATTACATACGATTCTGCCAAACGAGATGACAGAAAAGCACCAATTCCTGTTTTTATCCAAGAAACAAGCATGAAGAAATAAACTGCCAATATTAGCTAATTTTGGGATATTGGAAATGAAAACGACATTCAAAATTGTTGGTTGGCTCTAGATTTCAAGATATGGTATCAGTGTTATATGAATATTCCATCAAAATTGTTGTCTTTACCAAATTAATTATTATTCTCCTTATTATATATAATTATTCCCCTACTAAACTAATAATTATTCTCCTTTCCATTCAGGCTTCACACATTTATCTGACCTGTAAAAAT